ATATTATTAGTTACTCATATTAACATTCCCACATTTATTTCTGAATTTACTTCTTTGTATATGAAAGAATTATTTAAATATAATTAATTTTATAATATATAATTAAATATAATTAATATTTATTGCTATAATGTGAAAATATAGTTATTATAATTTATCATCTTTTATTTGGAAGCTATAAACAGTAAATGTCTCATAAATGACAAATATAAGGTAAAATAAACAATAAACTATATATATACTTATATAATTTTCTCGTATACAAAATAACAAATTCGGAAATAATATTCAAAATTTCCAAATATTAATATGAATAATATGTTATTAAATATGTAAATATTTTTGCAATAATATAGCATTATATCATTAAAACTAAAATTGTCTAATGATTATAGGTTATAAACAAAATTATTTATCCAAAATATTGACATTCGCAACACAATATCTTAAGGTCATCGAAATCGATAAAATATCCGTCTTTATGAATAATTAAAACTCTCTAACTTATAGATCATTTCATCAATTAATTATTTTGTCATATTCGACAAGGTTAAACGTATACTTTAAAAACAATAGAATAATAAAATGATTGTTAGATGCTATAATTCCCAGGATTATTTTCACATGACATTTGAGTCTGTTTTGACGATTATTGACAACATGCAAATTCATTGTTAACAAGTGACAAATATCCGCATCTTGGTAATTTACATCGATGTATCTTGCCATCTGCGTGTACAAATATGGCCAATAATTAAGTGAATTTACAAGCAAAATTACCGAAGACAGATGCCTCTTTGTATTCAGCAAATCGTTGGAGGTAAATAACATTGTTTCAACCGACTTCAATACGGACAGTTTAGAATCATTTGTCTGAAACGTGAAGGAACCTTCTGACGCAAATGTATAATTCTTTCCTGCTATAAAGACGCTTATTGGCTAAGGTTCAAAGTATACATACATCAGAAATCGTTCTTAAAACTATAATAACTATAATATATCAAAGATATTTATTTTTTGAATAATTTGCAGAATAAGATGTAATAGAAAAATTATTAGAAATTTTTTCAACGATAAATTTAATTAAATAAGTTTTATATATATATAAATTTTATTATATATATAAAATTAATCAATAGTATTATAGATAATTGATATTTATAAATTGAAGTTTATTGATAAACCTTATTTCATTTTTGGAATGAAAGATCATGGAATTATTTAGAATATTTAGAAAATTTTTAATATGAAAATATGAAAAATCTTTTTTTGTAAAAATTAATTTTCAAGAAAATCGAATTTGAAATTTATAAAAATCATTATTTAATTTCAATCTCAATTTTTTAAAAAAAAGGAAATTTAAGCAATAAAATTCGATTCTATACTTTTTACGTATCTTCTATATTTTTACGTATTTTCTTATCAATAATCCATATTTATGCCAATTGGAAATTAGCCAAATTTACTTGTATTTGAAAATTTTTCAATTTTGATTTTATCGAAAATAAGTTAATTAAAAAAAATTGATTTTTTCTGATTGATTTTTGCATTCTCTACTTTTATTCTCATTAATATTCTATATATATACAGATTCTATATGCATATGTCTATATAAATATTAAATTGAAATCTATTATTTACTACATTAACAAGATAAATGTATTTTTTGGAAATATGGGTAAATTAACGAGTAAGCAACGAAAATTCAATTAAAAATATTTAATTTTCAATTTTAAAATAAATATTAATGAAAAATTTAAATATTAGAATTCCCTTCTTTTTATGCTCATTAAAAAAACAATAATCAGTAAAGAATAAGTAAATTTACTAATTTACTTTTATTATTATGATAATAATATTATTTAAGATAATACTTTAGGATAATACTTAAAGATATAATAAAAATTTCCCAAGCAATTTAACATGAAATGATTAAAAGATATAATAAAAGATATTTATATTTTTTTATCCTCCTAAAACCACATATTATTCTTTTCAATGTCCTTTATAAAACTTAACACATTTTTAATTCTAAATTCTTATAAATTGATTGACTGATTGTCATTTTAATCAAATATTTTCTTGCTCTTATTTAATATTTAAATTTCTATTAATATATTTCTAAAATATATGATTAATTGCATTATTACTATATTGTACATATATTGCAAGATTATTATAATTATTATAATTACTCATAAATGACTGCTTTATATTAAATGAAAGCTTTCTTTTTTTTTTAACAAATAAATATAAGTATAAAAAAATATAAAAAGTTATAAATTATTTCATTTATAAAATTCTTATACATATAATATAGAACTGCAATATTAAAATTTTTTTATAATTAATGGAACTAATTTATCATATCTTTTTATCATATTTTTTTGTACCAATCTTTCTTTCCATTATAATATTAAATAGTATTAAAAGCTTAATATCTTTCTTCCTTATTTTATGTTATATACTTATTCTAAATAAGCAAATAAATTTATAGGTTATATTAAACATAATATAACCTAAAATTATATTTAAAAATAACGTGAATTGTAATATAATGTACAAATCGTATTTCATAGATCAAATTTTTAGAAATAAATTTTGACAGGAAATTATCAAACTATTATTTTATTAATTTTTCATCGCATTAAATATAATAATGCGTACAATTTCAATATGAACAATAAATCATAGAATTTTCTGTTATTTTCAATTAATGATTCAAATTTTCGCAAGATTAAATTTCGCATTTTCCTATTGACGTCAAAAGGACACGTAAATATCACGTGTTGGAAACATGGCATCTCTCGTTGCTATACCACGGAAAGTTTCTTCAATTAGAAACCGATTGATCGACTTCATGGAGAGTTACCGCCTTAAGCTATTTTCAGACGTCGTGCCGCTTAGTTTAGCGATTAAACGAAAATAGAATTACTGCTATCGAGTCTGATAGAGATCATTGATCTAATGAAACAATTAATATTAAATATAAAATTTATCGAAAAATTCCTTTTATAATACATATTTTCCAAATGATCATTACGTCATTACATTTATAAAAATGAAATTATTTTATCGTTATGATATAATATATACTTGTACGTATAGATCGTTCATAATCGTATATTAATTGTAATAATGTATATTAATTGTAATAATTGTAATAATGAACTAAAAATTCACAATTTTTAAATTATTTATAGAGAAAAAAGTCATTGTTGAATAAATGAGTTTTCAGCTTATAAATTACAAAACATAATTACAAAATAATCAAATTTTCTGAAAATAATTTTAATTTGGAATAAATTTTGGCGAGAAAATAAATTTATATATTTTGTATGTAACATCTATTAATATTACTAAATTAATTTAAAAAATTTCTTTTTTTAAGATTTTTCTTTTAAAACTTTCGTTATATTGATTATAATTGATTTTTCTCATATAAAAATTATTATATATAGAAATGGCATTTTTTCAAGTATTAAATGTTACATTATTATATTATATTATAAATGTTACATTATACATTGATTTTTTTTTAATTAGATAAAGTAAAATTAAAATGTGACATTTTTCACATTTATGATATTTCACATTTTTAAATTTAATTAAAAAAATAATACATTCTTAGTCAGTGTCGTTTGAAATGTCAGATGACATTGTATTTAATATAAGAAAATATATAGACTAGAGAAGATTAGCTTCATGGTACACAATGTGGACGTTGATAATAATATCGCTTGAAAATTGATTTATCTATAACAATAGGAAACTACGTTACGTATATGCGTAAAAGCAGAAGTGATCGATATACTATCATAATGACGTCATACTTTGTTATTTCATAACAACTTTATTCATACAATTTTAAAAAGTTAGAAAATATGTATATAATATATATATTGTATACATATAATTTTTATAGAAGATATTATTTACACTAGTGAAAGCGACATCAATATAAGTTCAAAGATAAAATGCCAATACATCTTGTCGAATTACTGTCTAAACAAAAATAGAATCAATTTTTTTTAAGAATTTCTTTATACATTTATGAAATTATTTTCATGAGAATGTAAAATTAAGAGAGAATAATAATATATTATATTGTAAAAAAGAAAAATTTATGAAGAAAGCTCTAAATTTTATTATGGGCTTACTATTATATGATCATTAGATAATCATTTTGTTCATTCAAATTAACGAAAATTTATATAATTTGTAATAAGTAATTTTTAAAATTAATTTCTTTTCGTTCACAGTAAATTCTTTTTTTAAATGAACAAAGAATTTGATTATATTTTTAATCAGATAAAATAGATTATATAAGTCTAAATAAATGAAACAGTTATTAAAAAGCTAAAGATAACCGTGAGTTAATTATATTTGATCATCATAAAAGAAAACTAGTTGAAAATTAATCACAAAGAATTGTAATGACAAGCAGTGAATAGAAAAGTCGAAGTTTAATTTAGTTAATACACTAAATTTTTAGCTAATACATAACCTAATCTAATTTAGCCTAGGCTATTCTACGCGTAGATTATCATACTTGATCATGCTAACGTTGATCACGAATTATGAAAAAAATTATTTCAAATTAATTATAGAGACCAGATTACAATGATTTTATCGAATAATTGAATAACTAATAAGACAAAAAAATCAAAAGCTGAAAAATTTGGAAGAACAACACAGAAATTGTTCGAATCCTAACCATTAATTTATATCTTTCAAGTAGCCAAAGCAGAAATAGAATTGCTTTCGAAGAAAATTAAAAATGATATGTGCAAAATAGCGAATAGTGTAATTTGTATAATATAATTTTAAATTTTAAAGAATCAATCTCTAAAGAATTACAAAGAAGAAAAGAGCAATGAATTATAATGTGTAACATGTTACGTGCCTCGAGCTAATTTTTCTTTCCTGAAATAAGTGCCTTAGGATTTGTTTAAGATATGAACATTTCTTAAATAATCCATTAATATAAGGTCACTCACCAAGATGCGACAACAATTGCAAGGATTCTGAAACAATAAAAACGAATGAAATTAATATAATATTTTTAATTTAAAAAAGAAACGCATACACAACCATGGTAGCCATCATAAGTACTTTCGTGTTACGAAGTTGATGAAGTTGATTCAAAAAAAAGCTAAAAATTGAACATATTATCTATTTACATTTTCATCTTTTTGACAATGATAAATAAAAAAATTGTTTATTTCTCCACTAAATTTCTTATTGTTATGCACATTTTTGTAATTGAAATATAAAATATCTTAAAGATTATTAAAACTAAATTCGATCGTGTTTCTTTAAAAGAACATTAAGAGATTATTAGATACATCACATATTACATCGTCACATATTAGATAATAAACAATGACTAATAAAAAATACTTGCATATATTCTTATTATCTAATAGCGCATTTTTTTTTATGAGAAAATATTTATGTGCTAAATTTTAAAAAATCTGTGGAAGATTCTGCTTGAATCCTTCGTATATTTCCAGAGATTAAAGAATATAAGTCATTCAAAAAAATAATAATAAAAGTTTAAAAATAATATCCATATTTTTCTACAAATAATATTTATTATCAGTAGATGCTAATTTGTAATTAGTATTATTATCATTATTATTACTAAAAGAAGAAATTAAATAAATAGCAATTATTTTAAACCAATATCATTATCATTATTTTTATTATTATTAGTTACTACTTATTATTTATTTTTATGAGTATTATTATTACCATTAACGTTGAAGACAAATTTATTAGCTATAAATTAACAATAAAATGAATAAAAAAACAAATAAGTTTACTTAATAAAATAAAATATCCATATAAAATTATTAACTTTTTATTTAAAGAAATAAATTATTTTAATTGCGTTAAATCTTTTGATTTCAATGATTCAATGAAGGGTGTCATCGAAATGAGAGCATAGTCGGTAAGGGAGGCAAAGGGGATTACATGCGTCACAAGTCTATGTCGGTCTAAAAGCAATGGGTTGCCTTCCTAAATGCCCAGAATTATTTTCAAGCCGTGACCTGGCTTCTGAGTTTATATTTGAATGCGCAAGAAGTACTTTCAAGAGGACCGACTATCCAATCGCCTTCAATATTTTCAGCTACGCGCGCGTAAATTTAAACCTGCTATACTTGTACTCTATGGCCGAGCATTTGTAGAATTTAATTATCAATGTGATGAGTTATAATTCTTATTTCAATAATGATTTTTATTCAAAAATATATGCTGCAATTGAAAATTGTATTCTATTATAATTTTATATATATTATAACTTGTACTTAAATATTATAATAAGTTATTAAAAGAAGAAAATATTTTTACATTAAAATATAATGAGAAATTAAAAAATTAGATAAAATAAATGCAATATAAGTAAAATATATACGTTTAACAAAGTGGAAGAAATGCAAAACAACATTTCACAACTTATTTTTTTCAATAATACATATATATTTGTGAACAAATAAGAATAATGTGTATATATATACATATACATATATATATACATATATATTACGTATTATAAAATTAAAAAAATGTATATAAATATTTATTTATAAATATATTATTAATAAATAGATATAGTAATCATACATAAATATCATTATTTGCATTTCAAAATTAATCGTATATGTATATGTATATATATTATATGATATATACATACATGATATATCAACTTTGAACGAAAGAATTGATATTTTTGTCTCAATGTAATTATATTATACTTCTTATCAATCGGTTTACATATTACAAGTATAAATTTAATATATTATCATCGAACTGTTCATTCTGCTTTCATTTTATTATTATTATATATATATTTATTATTATGCTTTTCAATATTAACTTATATATATGTATATATATATATATATATATATATATATAT